AGGCCATTGTTCTTCCATTTGGAAGAGATTGGGATGCCCATGAATGAAAATGCATAGTCTATGCACATGGTCGATAAATGGGGGGCCCTTTTTTGGTGGTGGGGGGAGCGGAGGGGGGGGGCGGCGCTCGGAAGGCCATTGTTCTTCCATTTGGAAGAGATTGGGATGCCCATGAATGAAAATGCATAAACGTAAAGTTGGTGGGCCAGACGACGAGGACAACAATGATGATGATGATGATGATGATGATGATGATGATGATGATTATTACGTCACGTTTCTAATTAGTCGTAGTACAGAAATGTCGGTTGAAAGGATGATGACGGTCAATGTTGGGAGTTGTAGGAGGTGGAGAGGAGGTGGGAGAGGTGGGAGGCAAATGGCTATGGAAACCAAAGCAGTGCTCTTGCTGGGTGCTGCGACTTTGATCCTTCTGCATTCATTAGAGAAGGGTCGGTCTTGGGAGCCGCAGACTTTCGACGTAAAGACATCAGATGTGCACAAGTCGCGCACCTCTGATGCTGGTGTCATCCCAAGCAGAAGTTCATTCAGTAGCTTGTCGACTTCCACATCGTTTGCCTCAATCATCAAGCGGCCTCTAGAAAGTCGATCGAAGGGTGGTAGCAGGGGTAGGAAAGAGAGGGTAGGTGTGTGGGAGAAGAGAGAGGTAGTTGGAAAGGCAGGTGAGGAAGAGGATAATGGAGACGAAGAGGAGGGGGAGGAGGAGGAGGAGGAGGACGAGGAGGGAGAGGAAGACGAGGACGACATGGAAGCCGAAGAGTACGAAGATTCCTCCTCGTCCTCCTCCTCCTCCTCCTCCTCCTCCTCCGATGGTGGAAACTTTGTTAAGGCTCGACGTCCTCAAGAGAGAAGCCACGGGTTGATTACCACTCCCCTCCCTTTTCAATCTGGGAGCGGCTTCGATTCATCGTCTATGTCCTTGACTGACTCACGATTGGCAAACAAGAACCTTTCCTCCTCCTCCTCCTCCTCCTCCTCCTCCTCCTCCTCCTTCTCCTCATTCTCGTCGTCGTCTCTCTCGACGTTTGGTCGTTTGCCCGCAAGGAGGGAGGTGCTCCCATCAGTTGAAGGGCTGTCGATCAGGATTGTGCACTCTTCAATGAGGACCACGGATTTGTTTGCCCATCAAGGAAACCTGCACCGTCTGTTTCCCAACATAACTCCCCAAGTGCTTCTGAAGAGCAATCAATCGTTCCCGCGCGCTGACATGTCGGTCCTGCGTACGTACCATTTCGACACCTGTGCTGTGGTGGGCAACAGCGGCAGCTTGCTCAACTCCTCCTTCGGCGAAGCCATCGACTCTCACGACACTGTGTTTCGAATCAATCAAGCTCCGTCGGGTAGGTACCAGAGACACGTGGGACAGAAAACGACAATGCGACTAATCAATACAAGATGGACAAACAAGTACGCCGACGTCAGGTTCGTGGAAGAAGGTTTGCCTCTGGAGAGAGACGTCACTCTTATTGTCACTCGAGCTAAAGCCCGCGCCTTTGATCAGCTTCTCAGGTACCTGCAGTCCACTAGATCTGACGTCCGAGCTCTCTACCTGTCATCTAGAGTCATCAGTGCCGCTCGCAGACTGCTGGTTGCTTATCGCCTTCGCCTTGATGAGGCAGGCCACGGTCCTTTCTTCGGAGGAAACACACCTTCCTCAGGCTACGCTGCTCTGTTCCTTGCTCTGCAACTGTGCAAGCATGTCTCTGTGTACGGCTTCGGCTTGACGTCTCCGGACGGCTCTTTTCAGCAGTACCATTATTTTCGACTCTTTACCAACGGTCGGAAGAAGAACAGCATGAACAGGACACATTCATTCGATGTGGAAAGAGAACTCATACGTGCGTTGCACCTAGCCGGTTTCCTGGAGTTCTGTGAATTCCATCCGATTGACAACAACCACAACCAGAACTGTGGTCGAAAACGGAAACGCGATTCCGATGCATCCTCCTCCTCCTCCTCCTCCGATTATTCCTCAACGTCGGGCGTAAGGAATAGCACAGCAGAAGAGAAAGAGAAGGTTGCTGCTGCAGACCTCGTGCTCGCAGGAGGGAAAGGCGATCGATCACAGCTCATGGAGACGATCTCTCAAGTCACTGACTCTCGCGGTTCTGCCGTTGCCACTATTCACAAGAAGACATTGGAATCGCTGTGGGCTAGCGTTAAAGAATGATGAGGGACAGAGAAATGATGTTGTCGTTGGTCCTCCTCCTCCTCCTCCTCCTCCTCCTCCTCCTCCTAGTCCTGCCAGTCCTGCTGCTCCCTTTTCTTTCATCTTTTTCTTCTTCTTGGTTCTAGATGCTTGCGTCGTTGATTCTGCTCCTCCTCCTCCTCCCCCCCCCCCCCCCCCCCCC